TGCCATTCAAGCAGCTTACTCTGGTCACCTACTACAAGTAATCATTTAGTTTGTTATAAAACAAGCACACTTATCTAACATACACCAAAGTCTGAAGTTTTGTGCAAATGATTTTTTAAAAATGTAAACTGTTTGCATAAAGCGATTTTTCAGGTGGAAATCATTCCAATCCAATGGTTATAAATTTGGATCATCAACATCGTATTGGTTTCTAAGGTGTTACTAGACTTGATTCTCGCTCTTCTATTGCAGACTGACATGGCTATCTGCCAGTGTTCCCTCTAAGCTGTGGAGTCTTGTGAGCAAAAATTCTATTTTGTGAGCTATTGGCATTAAAATTGTGAGCAAGCAATTTGGACACTAGATAAATTAGTTTGCTCTGGAGCCATCCTTCCTGAGCTAAGACAAAAATGTGTGAACAGGAGGCTAAAAAAACTGTGAGCTAGCTCACACTAACTCAGCGTAGAGAGAACACTGCGTACCTGCCTGAAACTAACATTACTGACAGAAGCTCCGTACTTGTCAGCAAGAAAAACTTTTCTGCATCACCACATCTCCATGCTAATAAAAGCTTCACCTGTTGATTTTCTGCCTGCCACGCAAGTGCTAAAGGCAAAGAGACTCTACAAAAAACAGGAGGATGGGGGAATAGTGAAACCACGACCACCACAGGCCGAGCCTTTAAGAACTGTCACAAGCACACAGCGCCGGACTTGAGCAACCCTCCTCGGTCTCCTAACTGCCGAGGAACAGTGAACATTGGGCTGCGTTCCATGGAAACAGCCCCAGGCCCACCCGAGGTCTCCAGTCCCGTGCCCGCCCTCAGCCCGTCTCCCAAGTACCTGTCTCCGGGGCAACGCCAAGCCCAAGATCCGCCGGCTCCTCAGCATGACGCGGAGCAGAGTTTCCACCAGTACTCCTCGCTCAAAGTCACGCCGACCACACTTCCCAGTTCACTTCCTGCCTGAGCCGGCAAGCACTTCCGGAGCGTGAAGGCGGAGCGTAGAAGTGCCCAAACAGACTCTCCTACAGCGCCATCTATAGAACAGAGGAAGTAAGTGCTCTGAGGCAGACGGGAGCTGTAGTCACGGAGGCCGTGAATTGCGAAGAAGCGTTTGTTTGCTCGTTAGCCTCTTTGGCCCTTTCGTGTTGCTTGCTTTTTTTTATTGCGGATTTTGGAAGAGGAGAAACTATAATAATTCAGAAATAAATCTGAGGAAGGAAAAGATCTCTGCGATACTAACAACAGTCCCGGCGAAAAGCATTTTTTATCTGCGCTTTGTGTTGTGCCATTGTTATCTGGGGGAAAGAAGTTTAATAAAAGTTTCCAGAGAGATGCTCAATTGCTGCCTACACTTCTTTCTCTTTGCCACCCAAATTTGGATAAATGCTGTGGTGGGCTAGCGACCTGGTTTCTCTCTCTCTCTCTCTCGTCAAGTCTCAGTTTGCTTATGGCAACCCCGTAGGGTTTTCAAGACAAGAAACGTTCAGAGGTGATTGACCATTGGCTCCCTCTGCATGGCAATCCTGGACTTCCTTGGTTGTCTCCCATCCAAATTACTAAACAGGGATGACCTTGCTTAGGTTCTGAGAAGATCTGACAAGATCAGGCTAGCCTGGGAGATCCAGATTAGAGGGGCTTAATTTCTGCTGATACCAAAATGTTCTGCTATTTCATTTATTTGGTTATAGCTCAGCCCTGTTTGGATCTGATCACTATTCTAGATGGTATTTACTTTTTATGTTAGGCACCTTCAACTCTGTGGAAACACTGGATAGAAATACTTAAGTAGATAAAGTGTTCGCTTTGTGGGTTGAGCAGGTATCTTGGTAATATCATCATTGTAGATGAAACATTGGTTACATGAAAAGCTGTTTTTTGCAAATCAGTGTTGGCCCTCCTACCTGGTTGCATTATGTATGTTTTTAAAAACTGTTTTGAATATTTTATATATACTGTTACAAATGATCTTTTGATGTTTGCTGTGCGGGTGGAAAGGCAGCATAGAAAGGTTTTCAATATACGAATAAATTATAAGTCAGTCACTCCGATTGACATACCTCACAGGACTCTTGTAAGCAGGGCTGCGCATTATGACTTTCGTGGGCCCTACACACTTTTGCCTTCGTAGGCCCCGTCCCCTTCCTCCATAAAAATATTAAAATTATATTTTACGACTGTGTTAGTATAAAGACAAATATAATAATACTTTCAAGGCCTAAAGGCATGAAAATAAATTATTGCTACTACATTTTAATTTTTTCTGTTTAAAGAAAATAATTATACATGTTTGTGGGCCCTAAAAGTTTTGTGGGCACAAGGTACTTATGCCTTTGTGGGCCCCTTGCGCCCTAATAATATCAATATTAAAAATTATTTTTGATATAGCTTTAAATACTTCGACTTGTTTTGGTGCATTTTAGGCAACATTTAATAGATTATCATGGGCTATAAACATTTCATTTTTTGTTTGAGATGTGAGATTTTCTTCAATCCTAAATGTTCATTTCCCCCCTTCTGATTTTAAAAGAAATTAGAGCATTTTCATGGCCCCCCGAAAGTATCGTGGGCCCTAGGCACTGTATCTACGGTGCCTAATGGATGTCAGCCCTGCCTATAAGAATATATCTTACAAGAAGATATAGAAATGTGATACTGCATGGCTGTGTTGCATGTTTGAAAAAGTATTTTACTGCATCCTCTGGGCCAGAAAAGGAAATCCCCTCTCCCCAGCAGTCAGTACAGAAACCTGGGAACAAGTTACCAGCTGAAATCTGCCACTGTTCTTTCTGACCCTCACAAAGAGAAGATGCAAGTAGGTCTTCTTCTGCTCCTTGCTCAGCAAGACGTCCAGACTGAAGCCACAGATTCTAGCACCCACTGAGAGGCTTCTGGTTAAAAAATCCACTTCTCTTGGAACCGCCCAACATTCAAACAACTTTCACCCTCAGCTAGGCCGTTCAATCTCTATGCCGCCTACAAAGTTATATGTCATGTGAATACTGGTTACAGAAATCAGTGGTGGTTGAAGGACTACCATCTTGAAAAGCTGAGATGCCATGGTGACTGAGGGGAACATCCACATTCAAAGCCTCTGAATCCCAGAGCCAGGAGACAACATCAGGGGAAGGCTTCCGGTTCCATGCCCTGTTGTTGACCACCCAGAGGAATTGGTTGGCCACTATGTGAAACAGGATGCTGGACTAGGGCCCTGGTCACATAGGCCGGATATCGCGGGGGGAGGGTGGCGTGGCTAATTGCCCCGGCTCAGTTTGATGCGCGATTATGCAATCAGACGCGCCGGTGGCACACCACGGGTCCTTCCCTCGGCGCTGGCGGGTAAACGAGGGACCGGAGGGGAATGCCGTGCACCGGCATGATCACACCACGGGCGTCTGGAGGCAGTCCGTGGCAAACCTTTACTAGTACCTTGGAGGTACTAGTTTTTTAACGTGCATCGTCGGCGGGAAGCCACGGGAGCACTACGCTTCCCAGATGTTGCGGTGTGACTGTGCCAGGAAAATCCACCTATCATCCGTCTCTTTAGCGCGGCAAATGCTCCGTGTGAACGGGGCCTAGATGGACCATTGGTCTGATCTAGCAGGGCTTTTCTTATGTTTTTATGATAAAAACTCCCAATGAACAAATGAATATTTTGATACTGAACCTTAACAAACCCAGTTCATGCCAAGTGGAAATAGTCTACCAGCCTGCCAAGACCAAAATTTCCTACAAGAAACAATGTTGGAAACTTAATCCAGAATGGGAAAACTCAATTGTAAGAATACCCACAGCAGAAAAATGTAAACAGTAGTCTGGATCAATTCTCCTGAAAGATAAGTGATTCAATTCTGTCTTGTCGGGCATTGGTGCAGATGAATTGCAACGAAATTCCAAGTATTTGTGTAACATGGAAATCCCATTTTGTACTGCAAGAAGGAATCCAATATACTTCACTTCTTTACACTCAGTTTTAATTCTTCAGTATCTTAGGAGTGCAGTGTTAAGCTAAAAGTACAGTCTTATGACCACTTTCCTGGGAGTGAGCCCCAGTGAACAGACCTGAAGAAGATTCTGAGCTCTGTTTAGGATTACACTGTAAATGGCTCTGGGCTTGAGCCAAATAATTTATCCATCCTGAGACTCAGCCAAACCATTCTATGTTTGGCACTTCTAAATTGAGAATTTGAAGTGTGTACAGAATGGCACAAGCACATGCAGCACGCATAAAGCGTTTTGAGTATCTTCATGTCTAGGGAAATTTTTTTTGTAGCAATAGGGTTTTTTTGTCAGGAATTCAATCTCAGATGAAAGAGGAGATTGGATCTATACCCTGCCCTTCACTTAAGAGTCTCAGAGTGGCTTACAAAGTCCTTTCCCTTCCCCTCCCGACAACAGACACACTGTGAGATAGGGGGCGCTGAGAGAGCTCTTTCAAGGACAGCTGTGACAGAACTATGGCTTACCTCAAGGTCATCCAGCAGCTGCAAGTGGAGGAGTGGGGAATCAAACCTGGTTCTCCCAGAGTCTGTGCATTTAACCACTACACCAAACTGGCTCTCAAGACTTGTGTTTGCCTTATAAAACAAAGTGTTACATTGTTACAAAATCTTAATATTGTGAAAATACTGCATAAAATTGGTATTTCCACTTAATCCAATGGTTGTCTACAGGATAGTTATATGAAGTAACCTTGCTAATACAAAGCACAGATGTAACTTGAAGAAATATCTATCTATGCCTATTTCTTAAAATCTTACCATGTTGCTTAACTACCCAGTGCATTAATGTCTTTATTTCTCTGATATCAGCCACATTTAGCAATGTTCAAGATAGCATGAAACACGGGCACAATATTGTTGAATGGCTGTTTATTAACAAAAAAGACAGTGTTATTCATAAATTCTCCATTACATTGCAGAATTTTTAAATATGTAACATTGTCAACTCTAATAATGAGTAGCATAACATCTTATTCAGTATCAAGACTATGCAAATACAGAATTTTGTTCCAATCAATTTTGAAAAAGTCAATAAAAGAGGCTCTGAGAGAGATTTTATACGGAGGCCATTAATTTGTGTCATTTCTTTATGTGCTATATATTCTGTTTGTGAAGTCTAAGACATAGATCTTCAAACAACAGAAATTTCTATAGGAACTTAATATTTAAAGTGACAAGCATATTTGTTCAGTAACTCACTGACCTAATTGCTGCATTTCACAGACAAATGCATATTGAGTAGGACCTTTTGTTAAAAATTTACGATAGCGACCACAAGAGGAAGTAATATTTCACAGTGAATATGCATATTCAGCAAATCTGCATCTTCTCTATGAAAGGCCAAAAAGTGAACAGTGTTTGTACAAAAAAAGAAATACATTCCTGAAGCTCTGTAAAAAAGAGGGGGGGAAATCCCACCCCTGTAACTTTCTGAAGCACTGCAAAACATACAACCCACAGATTACAACTAGTAGAGAGAGAAAAAGAAAACAAGCATCAATAGGGTCAAATCATAATGAAAGAGTAACTGGAAAACAAGTTTACAAAGACAGAGAGAAACAAAAGTGTGTGTATGTGTGTAGAGGGTGCTAAAAGCAATCTTAAAATACATTTTAAAATAATATAAGCATTCCACAACCACCTTCAGCAGTTTTGTGGATTTTTACTACACTTTATAAAGGCTGAAATAAGTAAAATGAGATTCACTGGCCACTTTCCTTGAATTCCTATTCATACTCCTGGAATCAAGCAGTCATTGATTTACTCCAGTGCTTTAAAATAACATAAATATGTTTTCCAATCAAGAATTCTACAAAAGTTAGTTAAAGATTAATTCATATGAAAATAAAACAATTAGGTAGTGGAAAGAAGCCTTATTAAAATGAGAAAAAAAATCTATTCCAGTAAAATAGTTGGACATGCCTCAAATCTAAACAGGGCGTGCTGAGATTATTCAAATAAATATGGTTCAAAGACAAAAAGGATCCAATACACAGCTACAGCCAGGTTTGAGAAGAATTATGTGTTGCCTTAAATGCTATAATCTAGATACCAAGTATTTTTCTTGTTTTTACCCACATGGAACTTTATTTGCTAAAATTATTAGATCTATTTAGGCAATACCTACGTTGCTCACTTTGAACTGTCATCCGATGTACCACAGAAACTGGATTAAGTCCATCTTTTCTAGTCAATGGCTTTTCTATTCAAAATAAGTGAAAAGTCCAATATGTCTAATTACTACTCCATAACACATGGAAGTGACTTATTTTGAAGTGAGATGACATGATATTTCAAGGTGTTCATTAGCTTAACGTGAGATTACATACACCACCCTACCCATCAATGTAAATGATGGCTATAAAGGGGGGGGGGCTAGACATATCTTGCTTAACCTTAGCAAGTATGGCAGAGCTGTAGTAGAGGATCATCTTCCAAGGAAGAAGAGCAACCAGTTTAGAAGATAGTGGTCCTATTAAAAGATACGAAGAAAAGATAGAATGGTGACATAATTATTCAATGTCTCTTTCATGCAAGACTCATCAAGAACGACGGTCTAACAGTACATGCTGTTATATATGCTGTGCAGTTAAGTATTGCTTTAAACTTCAAACAATTTTTATAGTGCTCTACATTTGGTGACTTATTCGCTCTTCAACAAAATGACACCAGTTATACTTGATTTACAAACAGCTGTTTATTAACTGTACTCCTTTGAAGAGTTGCACAGGTAGCTGTAATAATATTCCATTTTGTACTTGCTGCAGTGCTTGGTGTTAATGGAAATAGGCGCTTTAGTAGTCTACTTCTTACTAAAAAAATACCTCAAAGTGCTTTTCAGTATCAATGTTTTCCTTTTACTGCTTGAAACCAAATGTTACCAACCAGATGGGAGTGTTCAGGAACATTCAGCAGTCAAGGAGCAAAATTCACTACTGCTAAAAACAGAGAGCTTGGTCTTATTCATTGATCCAGAATCATTGTGTCCTCCCTAAAACTGCAAGATAAGTATGAAAAACAATGCAGCAGCTTATTTTTTGCTGCTTCTGAGAGGAAGTTGCGATCCCTTAATATTCAGCTTCTCAATCGAAGAGTTAGGCTTCCTGGGCCCCTCGATGGCTGTTCTTGGAAGAGTCTTCTCCCTGAAACAATGTTAGAGTATGCTAAGTTCCAGGTGTATGCTAAGGTTTTTTTGTTTTTTAATGTACAAAGATTCCTTGCTTTTTCTTAACAGCTTGTTATTTCAAAGGGGAAGGAATCACTGTAACAACCCTACTTAGACAAACAAGATTACTTGGCGATAGATTCAGGAGGGCAGCCGTGTTGGTATGAAGCAACAGAACAAAGTTTGAGTCCGGTGGCACTTTTAAAACCAACAAAGTTTAATTCAGGGTATAAGTTTCCATGTGCGTGCAGGCTTCATCAGGTATGGTGTGCCACTGGACTTAAGGCTACTTGCAAATGTCTTCAAAACAGTTGCAAGCCAAGGCTACACATAGACTGTAACTGGGGGTTCCAGTTACGCTGTATTTCACTTCTCCCACCTCATCAGTTTTAAGAACATTGACATACTGCTCAGAAATTAGTCTTACAACTATGGCTCAAACAATCACTTTCGAGATAACATAAGAAGAGCCATGCTGGATCAGACCAATGGTCCATCTAGTCCAGCACCCTGTCTCACACAGTGGCTAAGCAGTTACTATGAAGGGCTAACAACAAGAAATAGAGGCCAATGCCTTCCCAATACTGGGTTTCAGAGGTTTACTGACTCTGAATGTCCTTTCTAGGAGGCACTGATGGACCTGTCCATCAATCTGTCTAATCCCCCTTTAAAGCCATCTATGCTTGTGGCCATCACTACATTCTCTGGCCATGGATCTCCACCGTCTCCAGCCAAACCTACACACATCTTAATCCACCTCCTTGGCAAGCTGACCTATACCAAGATAGGCCAAGCAACAGCTCATCCACATCATCAGGCCAACACACCTGAAATTCAGCTAAGCTACTGGGATTAGTCTGTGCTCTCATACTGTTTCTTGCACACATTAATTGATGGTACAGGTGACATTAGGGCGATCGGATTTCCATGAAGGCTTCCTTTCCTTCTCAGAAACCACTCTTAGTTATCCAGCTTCAGTATGAGATCTATATAGTTGTAGATTTTTATGCTGCCTTTCCTCCGGGGAGCTCAGGGCAGCATATAAGGTTCTCCCCCCTTCCTGTGTCCACACAACAACCCTGGGAGGTGAGTTTAGCTGTTGAGATGCTGGTTTCATGGCTGAGTAGTGATTTGAACACAGACCCTAGTGTGACACTTCAATGGTTCACAAAATCGGGATCAAGGCTGAACTTCACAGGCCTCCAAATGCAGCCTCCATATAAAAAAGTGTATGGAAAATAGACCAGGTTTTAGCTACCACAACAGGCACGACCAGTTCCTTCTTCGAGAAACTTAATGGCTCACCAATATCTTAAAGCACATTGCAGACCAAAGCTGCGGTGTTAAGAATGCTTTCCTAGGAGTAAGCCCCAATGAATAAAGTGGGACTTATTTCTGAGTAGAACTGATTGGGATTGCCCCTCCCCCTGGAAAATGAAGCAAACAATATAGGAAGGATACTAATGATTCGTACCTTCGTGCTCCACCTTCCCTGCTTACATGATGGATACTTCTATGTCTTGGATTATCTATATTGTTTCTTGTTGCAGAGGGCTTGAACCGCACAATCTCCTTCTGCCATTCTTCATCAAATGCATGCGCTTCAACTATGCAACAAGTGAAGTTTTTGTTAGAGGGCGTCTACGGGATACAATCAATGCAGGAAACATTTAAATCTGCTACATCCTGTTATAAAATTATTTGGAATATACAGCATTAACACATTCGAGCCTTTGTGACACACCAACAATGTATGTAATCATTTTAAAATAATACATATAAAACTACAGGATGTCAGCGAGAAGGTTTCTTACCTTCATCTAAATTGATAAAGTCTTGATTTAATTCTTCATCACCAGTTTTAATGTTCTTTGCCTTCTGAACAACATGACCGCGATCTTGAATGTGGTGGCCAATAGCCATTTTTTCCAGTCCACTTTCAGAATCTTTGAATGCTCTCCTGGTTTCTTTGATCTGCATTTTATAAAGCTCCACTGAGTTACAGTATTTCCAGGCAGCTTTTTTGCATTTCAATCAAATTTGGCAAGATTATGGAAACAGCATGCCCATTCCACATAAGTGCTTTGATCGTAAACCGGGAGATGGAATTTGAGGGAGAGGGTATTAAGAAAAACTAGTGTAAAAAACCCCGGGAGATCAGAGTGCAGACAAAAACTATGCATGCACTTGGGCATTCACTTACCATTTCTGCTGCAGCCGTTCTCACTGCTTGAAGAGACAAGCAGCTATTCCATTTAAGCAGTAGCACGTCTCTTCAGCAATGAAAACTTCTGCAGCCCCAAAGCAAATCAAAGTCCCACAAATTAAGGCCTAGTTTTCTGCACAGTTTTCTTGTATGTGTGATTACTTTCCTGAATAGTGGCCACAACATGCCTGTCTTAGATTTGTACAGAACGGTAGGAATGGTTCCTAACATCTCAAGGTCTTTGTATTGCTCTGGTAGAATGGTTTCAAAAATCACCAAGGCATAATCTAAATATAACCTGTGAATGGACCTTTCAGCTACAGAGATAAGTGTGTGCCAGTATTTGCAACATGAAAGTGACACCAACCATTAGTATGTCATGCTAACCAACTTCAAAATCTTGGCTATGACTTATCGACGTGCTCATAGATATATTATTAGAAGTTTTCTTGATAACCAAGAGCTGGCTTGAGCTCTGAAGTGATCTGCTGCGGTTTATTTTCAACAGTCTTCTTCAGTGTATATATAATCTTTCATGAACTTAACTTCAGGGTTCAAATTCAAAGTTCTTAGCAAAATTAGATGCAACAGCTGTGAGGAAGCCAATAAAAGGGCACCTTAAGCATTATGTAAGCAATTAAAAGTCAAGCACTTGGCCTGAACAGATGATTCAAGACATTTATCTGAGCTACTGCACGTTATTTGGTATATAATAATAGTTTTGCATTCGTATTTTACTAACTTGCTTGTCAGTATTTAACATTTATTTGACTTACAAATGCACGAGGCAGCAAATGTAGGTGAAATACTTCTCATAAGGATGTATTAACAGCCAGTACCAATATTACACTTGAAGAAGCTTACTTTCCCTGTATGTTTATACTCGTTTCCCTTCATTCAAAGTTTGTTTTGGGGAGGAAATGCCAAAACCAAAATAATTTACCCCACACACACCACTTTTCTTTTCTTTTTTTTTTGCTGTCAAGTCACAGCTCACTTATGGTAACCTTGTAGGGCTTTCAAAGGCAACAGACAGTCAGAGATGGTTTGCCATTGCCTGCCTCTGCATAGCAACCGTGGTATTCCTTGGTGGTCTCCCATCCAAATACTAGCCAGGGCCAACCTTGCTTAGCTTCTGAGATCTGACAATGTTAGGCTCATCTGGGCTATCTAGGTCAGGGCCATATATTACTCTTTCCTTTTATTTTTAAACCTAGGAGTCACATTTTTGTGAATTTTATCCTAACATTTCTTATATGTTAAGAGAGAGAGAGAGAGAGAGAGAGAGAGAGAGAGAGAGAGAGAGAGAGAGAGAGAGTGTGAGAGAGAGTGTTTTTGAAGAAATGGGAATAAAACTTACCCCTCCTGGTGCCATGCGCATCTGAGCAGAAGCCTGGAAAACCTTTGGTGGTTCATCACCCTTCTTGGAATACGTCATCACAGAGGAAGAAGTGAATGAGTGTGCATTTGGATCAAGTGACACTTTCTCCTAAGATTAAATATAATACATCAGTTATTTAAAACAGTCAACACTAAGACTGGAGCACACAATTAAAGCCATTATTTAATGCTCTGCACAGTTCTTCTAGATAAAGACAGTAAATAATCCTACAAGAATGCTCTGTGGCTAACTCAAGCTCCAGTCCACCAAAGTGTTCACAAAGGAGCACTGGACTTATCATGAAGACTCCTGCCACTCTGAGGTAGGGAGGACATATTAGGGTGGCAGGGAACATGGGGACCAAGAGAACAACCCCTCCATTAAGAGGCTGAGCACTGGCATGGAGTAGAGGAGGAGGGAAATTTGGGTGGGAAATGGCGCCAGAGCCACAGTGATTCCTGCCAAGTGTCACTGGCTGACAGGAAAACCGGAACAATTCTCCCTTGCCCCCTAGAGGCACACAGATGGTGTAGCCAATATAATTGGGGGCACAGCCAGCCTACATACAAGTCCCACCAAAGGCTGCTTCTTGACTGATGAATTAATATTATTACAAGATGAAGTACTGCAGCCAGTTACTACAGACCGAAAAAGAGTCAAAGCTCCATACCCCTCAGCACAGGCACCAAGAGGGAAATACCAAGAGAGGTTTGCACAACTCCAATAAGAGAAGAGAATGCCCAACTAACAGACAGTTACCCACAGGCAGTGCATGTAGATCATGGCCAACTAAAGCAGCCCAGAAGGCAACAACAGGCCCCAGGTCTCAGGCACTCAGAGAACCTCAGTATGACAACAGCATGCCAATGGATTCCTGCATCTCAGACCACTAGTCAGACAGACAGGAGGGGGATGGATGAGCTAAGGTTTTTCTCCTGTGCAATGGCTGTGGTAGCCAGATGTTCAAGGCATGGCGCACCAATATGTATTCTAAGTTGAACCTGTCCTCTTTCCTCTTCCTTGTGGGAAAACTGTCTGGAGACAATGTAGATGATATCCTCGTAGAGGCTAATTAAAAGGAGATGGCAGTGTTCAGAAGGACTAAGTACTGCAAAAGTCCTCATTCAAATAACAAAATGCAGAACTGAGTTTATTGTACGATCGAACAAGCTTGTGAACGACCACAATCCCTGGCTGAATCAAGTACAAATTGACTCCAAATCACGAGTCAGATCAGGGAAGCTTTACTACAGGTAATCACCTCTTCCTTGTAGACCACAAGCGACTGTAAGTTACTAGTGGGTAGGTGGGACCGTAAAAAAAAGTTAATTTAAATCCACAAATATTATTTGCATGGCTGTATTGGTCAGGGGCTTCTGCACACATTCAGTAGTGGAAATTACAACCAAGGAGAGAGAAAAATCCATAGGATGAATGCAAGTTTGTGAAAATAACACCAGCAGCAGTTATGCTCTTTAAAACACTACAGCTCTTAAAAAACCTAACATAAAACCCCTTCCTTTCATAAACACGCACATAAAAGAAACATTAATAATATGGAAGCCAGTGTGGCATAGTTTTTATAGTGCTAGACTAAAATCTGGGAGACCCAGGTTCAATTCTGCTATGGAAGCTTGCTGGGGTAACTTTGGGCCAGTCACACTGTCTCAGCCTCACCTACTTCACAGGGTTGTTGTGAGCATAAAAAGGAGGACAGGAGAAAGTAAGCCACACTGGGCCCCCACTGGGGAGAAAGGCAAGGTATAAATGACAGTAATTAAATATATAAATAATAATTAGTAGGTTTTTTAAATACAATATGAACAATATGTACATTAGATTATATTTTGTCCAAAGAAGAACTGCTGAAAAAGTTGCTGTACTGTCCTGGCAGTTACCTTTCAGCAACTGCTGTTATACAGCCTCTAATACGTTCTTCTCCCCATCCCTCCACTGATTAACACCAGTGTCTCTTACAGTGCTGACATTAAAGCAAGCCTGTCTTAGTTTAACATTAAAGCAAACAGTAACTTACGAAATTTCTTTGCAGTCCCATCATACTGTTTCTCATATTGGACATCATTCTGTCCATTGCAGAAAAGGGATCCCTAAAATCCATGTTCTGCTAGAAAAGATGACAAAGGATGGTTAGAGAGAAGCAATGAACATTCATCTCAAAGTTCTCATTATATGCTCATAAAGCATCAGTATAGTGATGAAGAGGTACAGCAACAAAAAAGTTGTATGAACAGGGTTGTTTTGCTCTTTAAAAAAATAAAACAGTGTTACTTTTGGCCATTTTGTTGTTTTTAATTTTTATAATGCTGAACTTGAGTCTTCTGGAGAGGATGGTGTAACATGTTGTCAAACTGCATCTGCAGAAATAAGAAAGGGATTTGTCCACTAACAGGTGAACTTGATCAAAACATGAACTACCTTCATATATGGCTTTTTAGGATATATTGTCCAACCACTGTAGCTACAAGTTACTATCCTATAAATAACAGAATCAAAAGCCAGTCTGCTTTGTAATGGGAAAGTGATCAATGAACATGCCTACCCACTGAATGTTACAGGAAATTAAGACTTCTAACTTAGCTTCTGCCATCTGTTGTGATTTTTATGCATTATTTTTGAGCTAAAGGAACAAAATTCAGTCCTTCCTTTGATACCACGGGTTTAGGTTACAGTTAAATGCTCTCAAAAGTTGCTTCCTTTAACTATGGATTAATCTAACAGATAGGTCTAGGTCAGCAATTCATAGGCTGATGAAAGCGGACATGATTCAGATTCCCTTGTGTGATTTATTATTTGTAATTTAGGAATAACATTTCACTTGCTGTGGAAGAGGATACAGAATTGTGGTCTGGTGAGGGAGTACAATAAGCAAGCTTGTATGACAGACTGTTGATTTGGCTCCAATGTCTATTATGGCTTCTTAGTTACCAAGGCTTCCGTTTACATAGACACCATTTGTCACATGCATTCCAACTGATGGATTACCAACAAGACACAGAGGGAATGTCTGCAGAAACATGCAAGAGCTTTTATAGAAAGCACACAGGACTCAATTCAGATACCCCACCAAACCCTGATTTGCACTAACTATAGTACAGAACACTAAGTATACTTTATTGTGCACTATCCTGCTCTTTCACTGTCTGCTCAGCACTCCTGCTTTGTCAACGCAGCAAATTCTACAGAGCAACAGCTGCAATGGTTTATCAGTTCAGACAATCACCTCAAGCCATAATGCCCAGAATCGGGCCCATCCTTATCACCGGAGCCACCCCTGGCCTTACCCAGAAGACATCTGGTACCCTGCCATGATGATGATTGACACAAAGGGCAGTGATACTGTACAGGCCCTTAAGGCCCTGACTCAGCCACCCCTGCTGGTTGTGACCAAGGGAAGGGAAGGAAGGACTCCCCCTACGGTCTTATGAGACTTTGGGAGAGCCAAGTGGGCACATGCAGCCCCTGGCACTGGCCTTGTAAGAGGCTCAGAAGCAAAGGCAGTGGGGATATGGCTGGGCTATCTTTCTAAACGAAAGTCTCTAGCCCTTTTTGTTGCAAGCTGTGATAATGGTAATAGTTATATGCTACAGTTGTAATGCTATAGCAATCTAGCAATTCCCAATTTTTAAAAAGCCCTCTGGTGGAGGGTGTGTGTGGAAATGGAGGCTGAGGCAAGAAAAATAGCACTGATGATACACAGGACCTGCAAAAATTCACACCTTCCCATCCACAAAGTGTCCAGAAGTGCTTTAATTACAATGTTTCCAAAAAGATCATACTCAACCAGGTTTGGGAAACATTATAGGAAAGGGGGGGGGGAAATAGAAGCAGGATGAATAGAGGATGAAGTGCAGATGCACTTGAAAACAGCACTGCGATAAGGAAGCTAAGTTGGAGGGAAATATCCATGTGGAAATAGCCCAAATCCCAGATGAAGGAGCACAGTGCAATAGCTAGATTACACGAAGCAGACAGTCGAGGAAAAAATAGTTTACTGATATTCATCCTTTTGAAGGGAAAAAGGCCAAATGTGCAGTCTAGTGCAACAAAAGAGACTACAGCCACATTAAGCTGGAAAGGAAAGGAGGTAAACCAGCACCTTTACTATATAATAGTTTTGCTTTTTAAGAAATTCACAGACCAGGACACTGCTGCAGAAGAAGTTGCTTGTAATTTTTAAAAGCAAGATATTCCCATGAGATGAGGCGACGAAGCAAATGAGGAGCTGTCTTGGTTTTGGATAATGTCAGAACTACTATCCAAGAGGGGCTCACAGCAATTATGATAATGCTCCATGTAGCACTTGGAAAGAGCAATGAACTGTAGGAGAAAATAGCTGGAGTGGAAAAGCCAAACCAGGAAAAGTCAATAAATATACATTTCCCCAGTAACCAGTATCGTAGTTTGAGAGCTGGGAAAGAGAACACCTCAAGCATATAAACATTAAGCAACAACACCATTTTTATAATTAGAAAAGTTTCTCTCATGAGTAGCCCTTCAGAAGACCACAAAGGTATGCAAGAATTTCTTATATAAACTGAGAAAATCATAGGTGGATATTGTATTTTATTAACAGAAAGGGCAAAGGAAAGGAACCCATGTCACTAGCATAACAGATCCCAAGCTTTGCCAGGTACCCGACTGCTACAGTCCCAACCTTGAATAGCACACCACTTTGGAATATACACAAGCAATCCCTTTAGTCAAGGGAATTGCTGTAAAAGAAACCTACGCTATAGAAGCTCTCATTTGGAACAGAAGAGTCAACATACATAGTTGAGTGATAGGACAGAACAGAGGAATACAAGAACGTAGTCACACAGACCACGTGACCGTATTATTATAGCTAAGAGAAATAATATATGAAAGAAAAAGAAGATGGTTACAAGGACTACACAGAGGTTAATTTTAATAGGTCTTTCAAAAATAGCTTCACAAGATGAAACATGAATATTTGAGGAACACAAACACACACATTTTACAAAGCATACTGCAAAAAGTTTAGTTTTAGTTAGAAAAAGAAGACAACAAGCCCATATCATTAAAAATTAGAAGTCTTTGTGCATTTGGTATACTAACCATGCCACCAAAACAGCCAAAAGGCATAAAAGGCAAATCCATGGCCTGAAAAAGAAAATACTGGTACACATAAAGTGCTGCATTAGAACTATGGGCTATAGACTGAATGCATACAGGACAGGTCCATCCAGACTGTAGTCTCTCATGAAATCCACTGTTTATGATCTATTTGCATAATAAGGATGCATAATCCATGCCTTACCTGCGATCCAGCTCACTTCCAGTATTTCATGCAAGATCATTACTTTAGTCAAGAGGTGCAAGCTTTTGTTAAATTGGTATGCAGACATGTGTTCCACTGAAATGAGGCCTAATTGTTCTCTTGCTTTTGTAAGTACAGCTGTGCACAGTGGTGAAAACTTACAATCACCCTCTCACATAAAAACTTTACAACAATGTTTCTAAGTGGTAATTTTTCTGAGAACAGTAATTTTATGGTTTTTATGGTTCTTACCCTCCCCCTCTCTTTTTGAGGAAACTGAGAGAAATGTATTTGGGTTGAATGAAAAGCACCATGGGTTTAATGGCATACATTCAATGTTTAAGAAAAATATATAGTCTCTCTTTAGAACCAAGCCCATAATACCAGGAAGAGAAAGCAGGTACACCTGAGAGCAAGTAACCCCACAACAAAATAAAGTGCATAAGGACAGGCCTTTGAAGAGAGAGAGATCACTACACTGTATCACCAGAAGTTAGAGATTTGTGTTTCTTTAGCATACTGACCATGGTGCAAAAAGGCATAAGTGGAAAACTTGTTGCCTGAAAGAGAAGCATCAATCCATGTAAAATTGTTGCGCAAATAATACAATGCACTTAGAAAGAGGGCATGCCCATATCACCAGAAGTTAGAGATTGTGTTTCCATAGTATACTGACCATGCCACCAAAACTGCCAAAGGGCAAAAGGGAGCAGTTCATCGCCTGAAAGAAAAATATCAGCTTATATAAATGGCTGCACTATTTCAGTGGGCTAAGGAGTGCTATTTGGTAGATGAAGTCTGAAAATGTCTCTTCTTGTGCTTAAGCAAAGCACAGAATAAACAACAGCGAGGTTCTAATTAAATATGATGGCAGCAGCCATCTTTACTGTTTACATATCTACTTTGCTCGCATGCAACGTGAGCTTTAAAGTCAAAAAGGATGAGTAGAACTGAACTCTTGCCTCCCCACAGACCATTACCTGCACTCTGCCCCAGGCAGCTCCAACACTTCGGCACATAGAAAAGTAAAACAAAAATCTGGTGGCACCTTAATAACATTAAGAAGCCCTGACGTCATCAGCCAGCCGACAAGAATACATGCCGTCGGAACACGACTGATCCAGCCCGCAGATGAAGCCCCGGCTAGCTGCAATGTGTGCGTAATTAAAAATGCTGTATGTTGTCTTCCCCATCCCCCACGAATATTGTTAGTCCCATTGTCAAAGAGTAACTGTAAATCGCTCTGAGCCCGCAGGTGTGTGGGAAAGAGCGATCAATAAATCAAAAGTATTATTATTATTATTTCAATATCAGCTTTTGAGAGTCACAGCTCACTTCTTCAGAGTTGTGAAGGGGTTGTTGTTCAGTCACACAGTCGAGTCCGACTCTTCGCGACCCCCATGTGAAGGGGAGATCATACCTAATTTAGGGAAGATCATGCCTAATTTTCACCTGATTTATTGTTGTTACCCACCCTGAGCGCTACTATGCAGTGGTGGGGGCGGGTTATAAATCCAGTAAATAAATACATATATACATACTGGGAATTCTTCTTATAGGGAATATTACAGGGTGGTGGTGGGGAGCTAAGAGAGAGGTTTGGTGTTAATTCCATCATGAATCTTTCAGGTGTACATTCTCTGTGCAAGGTGAAATGGAGGAGTTGAGGTTGAAAGATTAGGTGTGTATCCTGTCATAAACCAACAAAACTAGCATAATGGATGATGACAGAGGTCAGAGTTTTAAATAGATAAGCAAAGAGATGAAGTAGGATAAACACGGTAAACACCACCTACTCAGAGAGAAGTAGTTTCAAGTTCCCCCTCCTGCATTAACCTTCCCCATAAGAAGAATACCCAGATATGATCTCCCCTTCACATACTTGAAGAGGAGACCTGTGACCCATGAAAACTCATACTGAAATAACGATAATCTTTAAAGTGCCTTTTGCTTTATTCTTTTACAACAGAGTAACATGGCTACCTCTTTTAAAATGTAATAATAAATAAAAGCAACAGAGAAAAGTGCCTGGAGTGAAGGACTATGGAAAGCTAATTAGAGGGAGGAGGATTCAGATGATGATAGATTTTGATGATAGACTATCTGTGCTTTTGTGTGTGAGCAAGGCACAAGTATAAAGAAACATGGCTGCAGGTGTCACATGTAGTTTGCCCCCCCCAAATGGTCATATACAGTTAATTCAGTAAACGATTGCATACATTTTAGTGTATCAAAAAACACTGCCCTCTATATTTAAGGTACCAAGTGTTGTACTTCGCACAACTCCTACTTCTCCACACACTCAATTCTATTTATCTGCCGTCAAGATTAGCTAGTTCAGATGGAGAGGTGCTGATTAAAACCAACAAATCTGTTCCTACTCAACATATAAATTTCAGTAACTAAGTTTCAAAAGGCTGAAATAAACTGTAGGTCCCAAAAATTAAAATAAGCAGTGCAGCTAGTCTGTACGCAAACACTCAATTTTATGTAAAAAGCAAGAGATTAATGTAGAGTTTGCAATGGAATACATACATATTCTCTAAAATATTCATAGAACCTTGGCAATAAACCAAATCATCTCTCCCATATCAGCAGTTTCAAAGGTCATTGCAAAGAAGTTCAGAGTAAATCTATCACCATATACAGAATGGTTTGATTTATAAACCCACAGTGAAGAAATTATATGAGTACACATATATAAATAGATGGTGCTATAAACACCAGCGACTATCAAAATTTGGCCAACTGCTCTTGAAAAAACTACTGGAGTATCTGGGTGTAAATATGAATTGCCTGCATGCATGAAAGGTATCGTTATACTAAGTTATCACATGGAAATGCATTTCACTGGAACTAGCATTTTATACATACACAGTAAAAACACAATACTTCTTATGGTACGACTGCAAGTTTAGCTGTTGTAAGGACAAGCAAAACAACTCTGCCTACTTGTAACCCACTACCTGTGCCCCTTTTCCCATCTCATGACTCATCTTCTATTTCTCTCTTTCTATTCCCTTGCAGTCCCTCCCTCCTCTTCTTACACCCATCCTTTGCCTTCCTTGTACATTCTCTACTCATCCCAGGGGCTGAGAGGCTCATTTAGCTCTCCCACCAGCGACTTTGCTGTAACATTTTGAAGTCCCAAGAGAAATTCAGCTACATGCTTGAAGAGTCATCCCTGAACACAACCAGAATGGAGTATTAATGCTCAGCAATGTCCTGCTGGCACAGGACCAAGTGTGCAGTAGCGGGTTTGAGAGATATTGTTCCTGTCTCTCCGTAAGTGTGTGGGTTAGAACATTTAACTGCCTGCTGCAGAATAATCTAGATCATTATCATTTTGTAGTTTGCCCTAGAGTTGAAATACGTTACTTATGACCTAGTCCAACAGGAGCATTAGCTGTTAACACGTATTTTGAAGTAGGTGTTTCCTCCATGTTAATGTCAGATTTCACCTGAAAATATGTTCATTTAAAAAGAAAAACATAATGTTAACTGTCCTGCAGAAGGGCCATAACTCTAGAAGCAAACAGATTCAACGAAGATTTGCCAGTGATGGACACAAACACCACTTGCTCCTGCACTTGCGCATTCCCCTCATTCCTCCATTCCTATGCAGAGCTTGATTCCAAATTTCCCAGCCTGACCCAGTTCAGTGAGGTGCCTGCCTTTGGAAAGCTTGGCAAATTAGAGCTTGACCGCACCAGGTAGTTTTGAATCAAGCTCCGTGCACAAACAGAAGCATGAGGGAGAGGGCACAAGCAGGGCAGCAAGCTGTGTTCAGGCCAGTCCTAGACAAACAGCCATTTAATCTCCATTTTGGTAATGTTTGGAGGCAGTCACTATGTCTTTCCATTTTAGATATGTTTAACAGTAATGCTTAAGTAAAAGTATCAGATTAGTTCTAGGCTACTGCGGAAAACTATTTGCTGGCAAAACTTTTTTTTTTGGCCCCCCAAAGGGTTTTTTTTTTTATTACATTTTTCTAAAGACTACAAATCTACAACGAAAATGAGGAAAGGGAACTACAATTAGGGATAAAGAAAAGAAAACCCACTACTATCTAAAATCCCAAGAGAGGAGATCCTCAAAATCTCTTAAGTACAAAGTCAGTTCTAAACTCGCTAACAATTTTTTGAACTTAGTCAGGTATGCTATTACAACTTTTAAATCTTAAATTAACTGTTGAAAAGAAAAACCCCAGAGCATCTCGTTACAATCAACCCTTTTCAAAGGGACAATACAGAGTCCTTCAGCCTTCATTTCTTCTTATCCTGTCTTCTTTGTAATTTATAAGGATTTTTAGGAGCCGCTGCTCCCTTCTCTGACAGAGAGTCCTCTCCAGAAGACCCCGAGTCCAGCTCGCCACTGGACTTACTGTCCTCTTTATCGCCTTTCTCTTGCTCACCCAACTGGATTTTCAAAAAGTCCTGTGCTTTGGAAACAGAGTCAATCTTTTCCTTTTTATCTTGAAGTTTGAAGGTTACACCCTCTAGATACAGCCACTGATAGCTGATTGTGTTTGTTTGAAGAAAAAGGATTAAATCTTTGTATTTCCTTCTCCTTTGTCTTATTTCAGATGGGATGTCTTTAAGGATCCTGATGGTGCTGTCCCCGATTTTCAAGGTTGTCCCCGTCGGCGCTCTCAGGATAGTATCCCCTCACATGTCTCTTTGAGAATCTCATTACTATTTCCCCAGGCAGATTATTCTTTTTTATATATCCGGAATATGACCTATAGGCCACATCCATTTCGCTCATCAAGTACTCCACCGTCAAATCTGTCACCGGGGCTAGTGCTTTGCTCAGCATTTGCTTTAGGTTCTCTCCTTTAGATTCTGGGACACCCTGGAATCGGAGAACCAAGTTTGCCTTCTCCATTTGCAGCTGTAAAAGTTGTTCTTCTGTGAAGACTTGCTTCTTTTCCATTTTTTGGACCTTTTTCTTCACCTTTTGAGTAGTGGCGTCAACTTCTTTCACCTTCTCAGCTGTTTGCTCTATAATTTTAAGGGTCTCATTCACTTGTGCTTGCTGTGTGGTGATACATTTAGTCATTGTAGACAGCTGTTCCTTGACGTTAGTCATCTGTTCTAGCAGGGGGCGCAGAGATTCTGCCAACATTTTAGCCAACTTCCGGTTTTGGACTCTCCCCTTTCGCTTTTATATTTTCTGGCAAAACTAATGCACTAATTGCTGGGGTGTATATTCAAGAACCAATAATATGATCAAGTACAGAGCTAGCCAGCTTTACAGCAACCATATGTGCAAAAAGAACAGCCCCTCCAACTAATTTTATTCTTGGACCCAAGACTTCTGTGAACAGTTAGTGTAAACAATCTTCACAACCAAGCATTCTCTTTCCTCCACTGTACCCCCAAAAGCCAATTATGAGTACTGGCAGACCCTCCAGAACAATACGCCTTGTGGTGTGGAGTAGTGTACCAAGAAGGGAACATTATCCAGTGCTGATCTCCTTGCTGTCACATGGACTGATTTGGTTCATTATCCCTTCTATTGCAATACCCAATTGCTGCATGACATGCTGTTTTGAAGGATTCCCAGTCCCAAGCAATGTTTTCTCGGGATGTTGGAAGAAGATAGTTAAAAAACTGCTTTTGCAAACTTACTCTGTTGACAGAAGACTGGTTTAACCCCCACATCTATACCGTCACAGATTATCAAAACACATGCCTAAGTGAGATGGGGGAAAACGCTAATATGCACATGCATCAAAGACATATCGAGCCACATTTTCAGTTTATTTCTGCTGGTTAGCAGGATCTCAGGTATTATCATCTGACCAATGCATTGTGTTTTTCTCTCCTTTTTTGGTCAGTGAGAAGTGAACAGACTTACTTGCCTAGGCAGCAAGTTAGTAGCAGAGTGGTGAAGAACGAACCCAAAATATACATTAGTTAATCTGCAAGACAATATAAAGACATACCTTGTGATTGTCCCTCAAAGCAACCTGAGAATCAGGACGCCCTCTTTGATCTAGAGTTCTTTCACCACCATCTTTAATAGCAAAATATGGACTTGGGCCAAAAGGTTCAGAAAAGATACGATGCATATGCTCATGATGTGCAGCAAAAGAATCCCTGGAGAAGATATGAAAGAGCACAGGAGGGAATCAATCAAGGTTCACATCTGTGGGTTTAGAAAACAGGCAAGCTTTGAGGTGTAAAAATTAACAATAGCTACTGTTGTGGAATAAAGAGTGCATTGTTTCTCATACCTTTTGTTAGCTGAGTCACACTTTTCTTTCTTTTTTCTGTAAATTAAAACTGGTGCACATTTCACACATGCCCAAAGAGACAGTACTTATACTCAAAAGCAAACCCAACTGCGTTCAGTGGGACTTACTCTCTAGTAAATGTGCTTAGGAATGCAGTTTAACTCACACAGAGATGTCGTGTATAACCTCCACTAAGGTCAGGTAATTCTGGCACATCTCCACATTGGATGCAACAGGATCATTCAATTACTCCCAATGTAGACGCACAGCAGAATTACTTCCCCTCCTGGAAAGCCAGCTGGAAGGAACTCAAGAGTCCCCAGGAGCCTTCAATTATATTACTTCTCACAGCATGCTAGTCATTCTTTAAATTCACTCACACATATTCTGTTGCACATTTTGGAAGTGACTGAAAAAAATGTACGTTGCAGATGAATATATGCCATTATAACAGGGGGAAAGCAGCTAAAACATTACACATCAGAGTTTTTTCTCCTCTTTATGTGGATTCCTTTTAAAACTGATCTGCAGCTTTAATATTTTACATAAAAGCTTTATCAGAACAGCTGGTTTTGTACAAGGCATCAGTGTAGCTGAAAAGTGTATGAAGAATTTGAGAGCACTGCAATATAACACAGGCTACTACTTCTTGGCAAACTAAAATCACAGGGTTGCTTTTTGCAGGAGGAAAACTGCTTCTGCACCTGTCTGAGCTATTCAGGAAAAAAAAAACTTGGCGGGACCAAGTAAATCTTTGGCTGAGATCAACTAGAGCTTTCCAAGAGCAGCTGCTTGGACAGACACATTTATAAAGCCAATTTTATCACAGACAGTATTTCTGGCTTGCCAGTTCAAGATCTATCCTTGTGAGGCAACGGAAGCTTTCCTATTAGTACACTGTTTTAGAAGTTAATCCTGCCCCGAGATAGCCCTACCCATTTGCACGATCCAGTCTGCCATGTCCACTTGCTGCAATGCACCCTGCAAAGTAAAGGGACAGGCTGGACTCCAAACAGCTCCTGAACAGGACAACTGTCAGCCACTGAGACATCAAGAAAACTGCAGGATCCTTACAGATTTTTGCATGTGACTATTTGGGATGGCAGGATGTGATCAGTCTGCAGTTGAACAATACCTCCAGAATTTCTGCCAGCTACAGCTGTTATAGAATGCTCTAATGAACATGTATAAAACACTGCCCTTGTTATAGCCAACTCATTAACTTTAATATTATAATCCTTCTAAAACACAGGCTGACTTTTTTGTAAGAGATGTGGCCAGCACTAACTATTGGCTCTATTACAACTGGGGGGGGGAATTGGTGTCATACGAACGCGGGGGGGGGGGGGGCTGGAATTCTGTTATATATTTCTGTTGCACTTGGCAATGGGATCCATTATTGGGAACTCTTTCAGGGACATTACATACCTTCTGAACAGCTACAGTGCACAGGATATATGTTGCATATTTCTGTTGCACTTGGCAATGGGATCCATTATTGGGAACTCTTTCAGGGACATTACATACCTTCTGAACAGACACAGTGCACAGGATATATGTTATATATTTCTGTTGCACTTGGCAATGGGATCCATTATTGGGAACTCTTTCAGGGACATTACATACCTTCTGAACAGACACAGTGCACAGGATATATGCATAATATAAACATGTAATATGCTATAATAAAAAATCCACTTTTGTAGCAATAAAACAATTCATTGTTGTGCACTGCTGGAACTTTCTGCTTCCATTAATGTTTTTATAACGTCATATATAGCAATATGGATTTTGTTCACCAGTGCCCTCGTATGTCTGCAGTTCTGTTTTCTAGATGCCACACCTGTCTCCAATGCAATTTTTCAGTTCCAGCTTGGACAATTAAGACTGCAAACATCTGTCAAAGTGATGCTTGCTATGCATTTTTAAAGCATAACTATGACTAAAACTTGAAGAAAGCTAAAGAAACCAGAGTTTACTGGTGTGGCATGAGAATCAGAGCCATCACTGAACACTGCCCCCAATCCAGAAATATGACTACATAATCTCTTGAGGTAGGATGTGCAAAATTCCATTTTAACTCCATCAAATCTACACACATACCCTCCCAAGAAACAAGCAGGTTTCCTTTTAACTTCTGCATAAATGCAAGACTGACTGTAAAAAAAAAAAAAACGAACCTGTTTGTACATGCAAGTTTTGGATCAGAGCCACTGAAATTCAGTAAAGTAGAAGTTGACTATAAAGCCAACATAGAAATCGGAAGCCTGACTAATTGCACTAGAAAAGCACAGTGTCAAAATCATCAGCTGCTTCCACTTTAGCTTCAAAGGATTTGGAACAACATACAATTTAAATTTAAAGAGATAGACAAGAGGTAGGACTGGGTGTGACCACGTTGTGGGAGTTAAAAAAACAAACTAGAGCATATAGCTGCTAAGAGCCAACCAGCCCTTCTGAAGTCAGCTCAGTCTGAGCTGCACAATCAAGTCTGATTACAATGATGAGTAAGCAATAGCATATATACCCACATGAAAGCTAAATAAATCTTTGTAATAAGCTGCCCTTGGTTAAACAACTGCATCCAAGTGCCAAAGGTATCCCTTAGGGTTGTTCACAAACATCAACACAAAAACATTACAGAAATGTTGCAGTCTGAAATAATGGGCCTTCACTAGTATGACATTCTGTAGCAGGTTGTGTGTATATTAAGTACATCTGACTTCTGGTGACCCTGTGGAGTGATGACCTCCAAAGCTTTCTATCATTAACAGCCTTGATCAGGTCTTGCAAACTGAGGCCCATGGCTGCCTTTATAGAGTCAATCCATCTCATTTTAAGCCTTCCTCTTTTCCTGCTGCCTTCAATTTTCCCTAGCATTACTGTCATTTCCAGTGACTCTTGTCCTCTCATAACATGACCAAAGAACAATAGTCTCATTTTAGTCATTTCACCGTCTAGGAAGAGTTCAGGGTTGCTTTGATCTAGAACTCACTTATTTGTTTCTTGGTGGCCCATGGTACCCATGAAATTCTCTTCAAAGGAATCAACTTTCTTCATTGTCCAACTTTCACACCCATACATAGTAATGGGGAATAGCATAGGATGAATTAACTTGTTCTCAGTCACCAGTGACACATCCTTAAGAATATTTTCTAGCACCTTCATGGCTGCTCCCCCCCCCCCACAACCTCCTCCTGATTTCTTGGTTGCAGTCCCCCTTTTGGTTGATGATGGAGCCCAAGAATAGAATTTTAACCTACCATAGTAGGTTATAATCATCTAAAATAAAAGATCTTTCTAAAAATCAGAGAGATTTGGTAGGCCGCTGGCTCCCTACAGACCTTTGAATAATGACACAAACTTCCTGAGTTCCTATCCTGAATGTTGTTAAACCTTAACACAAGGACATAAGTGACTGAGACCTACTTTCAAGTCTACCTCCAGGCATACCTAATTAGAAGATAATGGCATCAAGATCACTGGGGCTAATCCCAAGTAGGTGTACAGAAAATCATAGGCTTTCAAGTTTTTACAAAGTAGGAGCAATCCTTTTTGTTAAAAAAGAAAAAAAGAACTGTGTAGGAAATAGTAAGATATAAAATATCAGATACAATATTTGACATGTAAAGCACAGGAATCCAATCTGATGCACAGATGAAGTACTGAAGCATTCTGGGCCTCATACACATTTCAAGTCAGAATACAATTCCTCCTATTCTGGTCTACTTTGAAGAAGACTGCTAAATTAACCAAATGTTTTCTGGTTTTATTTACCAGCTTTTAAAATGAACAAACCACTTAAGTGGCACCTTTTTTAAACAGCAAAGCATCTTCCATAAAAATGTTTCCCCAACAATAAACTTGCAGTTATCACTTCTCACCAACCCCTAATATGTCCAGAGGAGTGAAAAGACATCAGTCAATCGGATTATATGCTGGTTTCTCAAACATTGCGTGCATCAAGACCTGTAACTAATAACTGCATTTTTAAAAGAACTGAGATTCTCTTCAAAGACGCTGTTGCAAAAGTTGTGAAAACTAACCATTTATGAACACAGACTGAGGCGGGGAGCCGTGTTGGCCTGAAGAAGTCTAACAAAGTAGGAGTCCAGCGGCACTTTTAAGACCAACTTGGTCGTTGGTCTTAAAGGTGCCACTGGACTCATACTTTGACCAGTTTATGGCCACGGACGCCAGCCAGCCGCATCCTGGAAGCAAGTCCAAGCAGGACAAGATGCCACTCCCCGCCCCCCGGGAGAGGGCCGAACGTGGGAACGGCACCAGCTCTCTGTACTAGGCGAGCTGGCGTCAGGAATCCCGGTATCCGGGGAACCGTGAACCAAACACCAGCCATTCTGCACAAGGAGGAGGGCCAATGGCGCAGTTTCTGCAAGGGAGCGGGGCTTGTTGAGGGCCGTCAGCCGCCTTGGGCACGCCGACAGAAAGGCGAGGCAAACACTCCCGGGGGCCAGGCAAGCAGGCAAAGCCTATCCCAGGAAGCCGTCGCTAATTCGTGAACGAGACAGCCGGGAAGTCCACAGCACGCCATATCCCACCGCAACCTTCCCATCCTCAAGACACCCGAAGGGGGGGGGGGGGGGGGGGGCGGGGGACCGCCCGGGGGGTCCCACGGGCAGAGGAGAGCCGTCCTTCCCGCAGTGGCGGCGCGCGCCCGCCCCCAAGCCCCGTGGGCCTCAGGGGACCTCACTCACCGAAAGAAGGGGTCGTCCTCGAAGACCCTGGAAAGCCCCCCGAACATGGCTGTGCTGCTCTTGAAAGCGCTTCTTCTGCCTCAGCGCGGGCTCCGCTCCCGATCTTTCCGTCGGAGGCCCCCCTCCCGCGGGCTCTTAGAAGCGAGCCTCGCCTTCCCCGCCCCGCCCCCTTAACCGCCTCGGAATCTGCGCCTCTGCTTTCTCATTGGCCCTGGCGGGGACCCAACATGGCGGCGGCGAGCAACAAAGAGGCGGTGCTGCTGCCATGGAAACGGGGGCCCAAGCAAGGCCGAGTTCTGTGGCGCGGAGGGGGGCGGGGGAGAGTGGGCTTCCTGCGGA